CCCCCCCCCCCCCAAGAACTGGCCCGCTCAGTCTGTTTAGCTTAACACAGAGAAGTGAAGCGGGGGGGGGACTTGATCTCAGGCTAGAAGGTCCTACATGGGGCACAGAAACTGGGCTCTTTGATCTAGCAGACAAAGGTCTAAGAACCAGCGACTGGATGTTGAAGTGGGACAAATTCAGACGGGAAATAAGGTGCATCTTGGGGCTCAGTCGTACCGATCCCCACTTCCTCATGGCCCGGGGGGCCTGAAACGTCTTCCCGTTGGGTGGTGGGTGTCACAAACCCCATACTGGAAGCTCAGAGGGCTGGGGAGATCCCATGTTCAAACCCCCAGCCTAGTCAACGACACCCACCTCCGGATCCCCAGTATCTTGTAGTAGTCGCGTTTCCTTGACTGCTTCAGCAGCTTCTGGGCTCTCTCCAGCCCCTCCTTCACCTCTTCGTTTTCCCCGTCGAACTCCTTGGCCTCCTGGTAATCCTCCACCGCTGTGAACCAAGCAGAGCTGCCTGACGCCGTGCCCAGCCTCCTAGCAAGGCACGGCTCCCTCCGCCAAGCAACCGGCCCTGCCAGGCACGGGGGCTGCTGTTGGACTTGTCGCTCGGCGGGCCGGGCTCCCCGGGGGAACTACAGCTCCCAAGAGGCACCCCAGCGACAGGGTTCCCTCGTGCATTGCCTTTCCAAAAGGGGCGACCGTGGTGCATCATGGGAGATGGAGGGCACGAGGCACCCGCAGGACACTCTCACGATGCACCGTGGTCTCTCCTCCTGCTGAGCCACAGTAGTGCATCATGGGAGCCCCTGGCAGAGGGGCCTCATGGAAGGCGGAGACCCCTCCAAATACAGCTCCCACCACGCCCCACTTTCCATCTCGAAGAGAGTAGATTGTGATGTGTGTCATGGGAGATGGCCTTGAACCAGGCCATAAGGAACCCGAACTACAATTCCCACAAGGCAATGCCTCCCGTCTCCAAGAGGGATGACTGCAGAGCATCATGGGATACGCAGTCTGACAAGGGGACCCCATCCCCAGAACGACATCGCCCAGGAGGTACCAGTTTTCATCTGGAATCGATTTCTGCCCTTTTTTTTGTTTGTTTTTGGAAATTTTCCATTGAAAAATTTAGACAAAAATACCCCTCCCCCACTCTAACCCACGCCACTCCCCTCCCACAGCTTGGATAGAACCCAGGAGTCCTGGCTCCCAGCCCTCCCCGCTCTAATCCACCAGCCCCCGCTCCCCAACCAGCGCCGGGGAGAGAACCCAGGAGTCCTGGCTCCCCCCCCCCCCCCCCCCCCGCGCCCCCACCCACCCCCCCCCCCCCCCCAGGACGTGCCCCCACTGGCCCCAGACACACACACACACACACACAGGCCCTACCCCGCTCCCCCTCTCAGAGCTGGGACAGAGCCCGGGAGTCCCAACTCCCGGGGCGGTGCTCAAGCCACTAGGCCGCACTGCCTGCTAGCTCCTTCCCCGAGGGTGGTGGCCAGAGCTGTGCACTGCTGGTAGCCGGCCCTGAGCCACTCTCCTGAGCGTTCCCCAAAGGAAGGCCGGTGAGAGACCTGCTCCAGCTTGGCCCCGTGCCTGGGCCCCCTACCTCTCTGGAACTCCTCGTTCAGGATGTAGGCCTCGGCCCGGTCCCGCAGGATGAAGACGTTGCGTGGGTCCCGCTGGTGAGCCTCTGTGCAGACGTCGATGGCTTCCTGGGGCCGTTTGCTCTGTCGGGTTGGGGGGAAAGGGGGGGAAAGAGGTGGGTCAGGCTGCAGCCATGGGGCTGATCCACCCCTCTAGATTATTGCACTCCAATCCCCGCCGCCCGGGACGCCCCACTGACCCTCCCCGCTCTCCCCGCTCTATGGGGTGGGGACAACTGCCCACCTCCAGACATGCACCTCCATCATCTCCAGGACACCCCCCACCGGCCCTGAGACTTATGCCCCACACTCTCCGAGATACGTCCCCCCCATCTTCTCCGGGATGTGACCCATGAGCCCTCCCAGACACGCCCCATGCCCTCTGGGACATGCCCCCCGACACATGTCCCCACCATCTTCAGGATGTCCCCCATAATCCCCCTCTGGACACGTGCCTCCCTCTCCTCCAGGAGGTGCCCTAGACACATGCCCACTATTCCCCCTCACAACCGCCCCCTTTCCCGTAGGCCTGCTCTGGTGGGCGGGAGATCGACACACCCCGTAGGTGTTCATCCAGCCGCGTTAGCCATAAGTGGAGCCCCCTAGCGTGGATACCGGGGTCTTACACTGGGAAACGCAGGCGTGCAGGGGGCACACGGGGGGGAGACAGACCCAGAGATGGCGCCCACACGTTCCAACCCCGGCCCCGGGCCGGTGCGAACGGTCCCTGCCTCACCCCGAGCTGGCCAGGGGCTGGAGCTTCCTCTCCCGCCCCTGCCGTCGCCGCCTTGCACACACAAGCGAACGCGCCTTCCCTCCCACCCACGCCCGATCGTGCGCTCAGTCCCCACGGAGCCAGCTCCTCGCCCGCATTCGGAGGCCCGCCTTCACCGGCCCCGCTGCAACACAGGAAAGGGTCATTTCTCCCCATTTCACTGAGGGAAACTGAGGCACGCAACATCAAGGCACCATTTTCAAAAGCGACGCCTTTCGATTGAGTCACTTTAGGTGGCTGAAGCACATAGCGTGGTCTTCGGCGACCTGCGGTCGGTCCCACAGAGAGTCTGTGGCGGCAGCACCAGAAATCGAACCCAGGAGTTCTGATTCCCAGTCCAGCCCATCAGCCACAGCTACTGGCTAACTGGCCAGCAACATTTCTCCCCTCTAAGAGAACATTGCGGGGTATTTTTGCAGGCAGGGTCTCTCCTTTCCTAGGATATTTTGGATTTTCCGTCGGAAAACCAGAACAATTTCAGGTGCCGAAACTGGAGGGAGGAGGAACAAAAAATCTGATTTTTCTACCCAAAGTCGAATTTTTCAGCAGGAAATTAATCCCCAATTTCAGACCCCAGGACAGGAGCATCCAGAGACAGGCCCAGCGAGCGCAGGACAGGTGTGTACTGGAGCAACAGCCAAGATCCTGATTCCGCCCGGACGCTCTGCTCAGAGCCGGCGGGTGGTTTGGGGATGGACACAAAAGATGTGGTTCTGCTGGGCTCTGATTCCAGCGACCTCTGTAAACACTGCGGTGCCCGCAGGCTGCCAGCAGGGGGCGGGGCTTAGCGCCAAAGCCAATCACAGACCTCCTCAAAGCCCCTTTACACAGAGCGCAGGTGTCGGGTGCAGGCGCTGTGCCGGTCCCTCTCTGCCCCCTGCTGGAGGGAACAGGCACTGTTGTGTGTGTGTGTGTGTGTGTGTGTGTCCCTGCTGGAGGGGACGGGCCCTGCTCTGTGTGTGTGTCCCTGCTGCCCCCTGCTGGAGGGGACGGACCCTGCTCTGTGTGTGTGTGTGTCCCTGCCGCCCCCTGCTGGAGGGAACGGGCCTTGCTCTGTGTGTGTGTGTGTCCCTGCTGGAGGGAACAGGCCCTGCTCCGTGTGTGTGTCTGTGTCTGCCGCCCCCTGCTGGAGGGAATGGGCCCTGCTCTGTGTGTGTGTCCCTGCTGGAGGGAACGGGCCCTGCTCCGTGTGTGTGTCCCTGCTGGAGGGAACGGGCCCTGCTCCGTGTGTGTGTC